TAGTTGTCCAGATCATTTCTTTTCTGTTTTTTAGTAGAGACGGGGTCTCGCTCTTGCTCAGGCTGGTCTCGAACTCCAGACCTTGAACGATCCACCCGCCTTGGCCTCCCAGAGTGCTAGGATTACAGGCGTGAGCCACCGGACCCGGCCAACACAATCCAGTTTTAGAAAATCCCACCACTCCAGGGAGATCGTTGGTGTCCATTTGCAGTCAGTCCCAGTCCCCACCCTCACCGCAGGCAGCCACTCATTTACTTTCTGTTCCTAAGGGATTTGCCTTTTCTGGACATTTTATATAAACGGGGTCATATTATAGATGAAGTTTTTCATCTGGATTCTTCCACTTAGTTTTTGAGGTTTGTCCATGCTGTACTGTGTATTAGTACTTTGATTTTTTTTATTGCTGAACAGTATTCCATTATATAAATAATATTTATTCATCAAATGATATCGTTTCTACTTTTTGGCTATTATGAATCATGCTACTGTGAACATTTGCCTACGTGACTTTGTGTAGATGTGTGTTTTCATTTCCCTTGTGTAGATACCTAGAAGTGGATTTTTTAATAACTTTTGGTACTTACTGTGAAACTGCTCTCCAGAAACATACTAATTTATACTCCCACTGCCAGAGCGATTATGCCTGATTCTTCTCATTAATACAGATATTTCAAAAAAAGTTAAATATGCGTCAAGTGTTTAGGCAGAAGTTGGTATTTCTTTTAAAAATAACTTTTATCCTGTAATATAATACATGTTTACTGAACAAAATTCAGGGAAAATATAAAAAAGGAAATAAAAATCTTTGTAACCAAACTGCTAAATGAAAACCAAAGTTACCTTTTGGTGCATATCCTTTTAGTTTTCATTATTGTGATTTGCATTTCTTTGATTACTCGTGAGGTATGCTTTTTTGTTTACTTAATGGGTTTGTATGACTTGCCTAATTGAAGATTTTGGAGCTTTACCATTTTATGCAAATGACAGCAACTTATTATATCCTAGAAGAATTATACTCATGACCAAGTCTCCATGGAGGAAAGAGACTTTAAAGATAATGGGATTTGCAAACCAATGTAATAAAATAGTTTGTTGTTTCTAACAGTATGAGTACACAGAGGCAAAATATGTACTGAGTGTATTGTTTGCAGATATGAAGCCCTTCTGTTCCTTTAGGGAAATGTTCCCTGTGTTCTGCATTTGAGTTCAGTTTAGATTTGTTAGGGATCTCAGTTGGAGCTTTTCTGTCTGGGAGTGTGGGATGGTTTTACAGAAAAATTGCAAAAATGCTTAAGGGACAAAACTGGCATTCAGATCTGCAGATCTGCTCTGTGCTCAGTACTCTGTGGACATATGTTATTTGACACTTGTTGACGTTGATCAAAGATTTAGAAAGAGAGCTTTCAGGGTGTATTTTTAGTTATTTATTTATTTTTCGAGACAAGGTCTCTGTCACCGGGGCTAGAGTACAGTGGGGTCATCATAGCTCACTGTAACCTCAGACTCCTGGGCTCAAACAATCCTCCTACCTCAGCCTCCTGAGTAGCTGAGACTGTAGGTGCTAGCCACCACTCCTGGCTAATTTTTCTATTTTTAGTAGAGACAATCAAGGTTGATTTTTAATAAAAGCATTTCATTGTATGTAGAGAAAGGTACTTAATTTAGTGATAGGTAAAAAGAGAGTACAACACTTAATTATTTCAGAATGGGTGTGTGGGCACGAGATCTCATGGTCTTGAAAAATGCCATTTCTGAGAAAGGGCAAGGGAGGCACTGTCTGTTGGTAAACGGGTTCAGTCTTACCCACCTAGGAGGGAAGAAGGGTATGAGTCACAGGTGAACTTCATATACTTTCTTAAGTAAACCAATCTTCCTTTTATGTCAGGCTTGTCCCTAAGCTGTTTTATAAAGGCGACCAAGGACAAGCTGATCCAGTAGTGGCCGTGGCAAGAGATCAAAGCAGTGTTCACCTGAAACTTCTCATGCACGAGACGCAGCCTCCATCTCACTTCTCTGTCAGCACGATAACCAGGTACACTGGCTCAGTGGCATCCTCATGTTGTCGGAAAAAGGTGCTCTTTCTTGATGCCTTTCTTTAGACTTTAATTTAAAACATTTTATTTTCTAGAAAAGAAGCTTCAGCTCATGATATTTGAGTAGATCATCTTCCTCTGAGAGGATATTTATGTTTTTTAGTATTGACTAAAAAAGCTACCTCTGTCTTTAAGCTTTGCTACAGCCACACAGCAGTGAGGTGGTAAATCTTTTAATGAGTTCACTACATTCCACATGCTGACAATTTTATTTTTGTGTATGACTCTTATGTATTATCTGAAAACTTGTCCATTAAAAATTTTTACTTTATTTGTATTACCTCTGAAGATGATGGTTTTCTGTCATGTTCATTGACTTTTAGGTGAGCGGACTATTAAAATCAGTGCTATTTAGGGGTTTGTGATTTCGATGATTTGCAGTGATTATTGTTCACATTTGTTGTGAGAGCTTTTGAATACAATGTCAAATGGTAGCCCATATCCCATACTCATCTGATTCTCAGGTGAGCGAAGCAGAAGTGCTTTAATGAAGTTATAATGTTCTTTAGAATTTTAGTTTGCAAAGAAGATTGCAGAAGTGATGATAATACTATTGTGCCTTTTAACTCTTTCTTTTTTTTTTTTTTTTTTTTTGAGACAGAGTCTCACTTTTTT